TAGCTCCCCCTCTACCTTTTAACTATTAAAACCATAGGCAATTTTCCCTCTACTTCCTGTTCATATGTAAATTTAATCTATGAGTAAAAAAAAATTGTATGTTGTATGACGACCTTCGTATTAAAATCTTTCTTTCTTAGTACAAAAATATCATCTACATACCTAAGCCAAATTTTCGGAAAATCACCATAAGTTTGTTTTAAATTTGTTTCGAATCTACCCATGAAAAGTTCTGCGAAATAGCGTATTTACGAAATTTTGGCTAATAGGGGTAATGCCTTAAGCTACACAAGAGTTTTTGAGTGGCACAAAATGTTAAAGTAAGGCCGGGAAATCTTCGAAGACGAGCACCGTGTCGGACGCTCGACGACTGCCGAACAGATGCTCAAAGTGAAAAGTGTTTTGGACTTTAACAGACGTTTAACCATTGCCCCTATTAATGAAGAGACCAGCCTTTCAGTCGGAATCGTCCACACTATTGTAACAGAAGATCTTGCGATGAGGAAATTGTGCACGATATTGGTGTGATTGGGGTGCGGCAGCTGCTGACGAAATTCGGCGTGGCAACATTGCCTCATCACCCTACCACCCAAACCTGCTCCACCTGACTTTTTATTGTTTTCGCTAATAAAAAAGGAGTTCAAAGGACATCGGTTTGACTCTATTGAGGGGGTTCAAGCGGTGACGACAAAGACTCTCATCAGTATTCTGGAAACTGACTTCTAGCGTGTATTTGACGAGTAGCAGACGCGCGCGAACTTAGTGTAACGATGCAAAAGGAATGTACTTTGAAGATTATTAATTAACTGTAATGATACCTGCAATCAATTTTGTTAAGAATCAAGTCTTGATTATACAAATCAAAATTTTGAACCCCCATTGCAATGTCTACTAGTAGATTTTCTATCAGAAATTTTTTTGGTAAAAACTATTTTTAAGACCAAAAAAATATTTCAATTTCTTCATCGTAAAACACAATATTCGTGTAGTTTTTGTTAAATTAATCAATTCAATTTAAAAACCCAGCATAGGGGGTCGCGACACAGTGGTGACGTGGCATAGTTGGATCAGGTATAATGATATCTGACAGTGATTAAAATCACTATCAAAATAAAACGCTTTGATGCAAATCTTTAGATAGTGTTTAATTTTAAAAAATTGGTGGATTATTCCAAAAGCTACATGATCTACTAGTTCCTTATTAATAACCTGATNCAAAAAAAAACGCTTCGATGCAAATCTTTAGATAGTGTTTAATTTTAAAAAATTGGTGGATTATTCCAAAAGCTACATGATCTACTAGTTCCTTATTAATAACCTGATTAAGATAAAGTATGTTGAATGAAAAAGGGATTATAAAAAAATATTATTTCTCATAAAAAATTTGTGTTGATCCATACACTTTTCAATAAGTCATAGTATTATAAAATTAAAAATGTAAAAAATAAAATCGAGAATTTTCACACAAAAATAGCATTCGGTAGCCATTTTCACCACGAAGACAAGTCCAGAGGTCAAATTTTTTTCATAATAAAGTACATTAAATTAGCTTTAATTTAAGATATATATAAAAGTGTCAGACCATTGAAAGAAATCAGTTCGGTGAGAGCTGAGAAAAAGTGGTAACAGACACAAAAAAAACACATCATAGTAAAATTAATACCTTCTCAGCTTCTCATCGAAGCTAAAAGATAAGTTAAAGAAAAAATTTCAGAACACAGAAATAAGGGTCAAATAAATAATTTTAATAAAAGTCCGGTAGTTTCATTTTCTAAAAACTGAGAGGATGATTTAGTTAAAAACTGTTAAGTTATCAAATTGTGTATTATCAATATTTATATATTTTAAGGTTATACTACGTTACTTGATTATTACAATGTAATCTCAAAATAAAGTTATTGCATTTTTGATTCGATGCGAAGCTGAAAAGGTATTGGTTTTACTATGATGTATTTTTTTTTTTTTTTGTGTCTGTTAATACTTTTTTTAGCTCTCATTGAACGGATTTNTTTTTTTTTTTGTGTCTGTTACCACTTTTTCTCAGCTCTCACCGAACGGATTTCTTTCAACGATACGTCAAAAGATCACAAATCGTATCTAGTCGAAGACATTACCCTTAAAAATTGAAAAAATTTCCCCGTAAATGGGGGAACCCCCCAAAAAATTACAAATTTAAAATTCGCTAATTTTCGAAATTTTTTCAATTTTTTTTACTAAAAACTGCCGTATCTTTTTCAAAAATGAACATATCAATATAATTTTTTTTTTATAGATGCTTGATGTCTTTACCTATTATTTGGTATATATTTTTTTTATATCTGACCCTTTACCTGCCCCAGGGGCGATTTACTGTTTCACAAAAAATGAACTTTTTCAACTTAACTTTTGAAAATGTTCCGGAAGGTCTGACTGTTTTATATATATCTTAAATTAAAACTAATGTAATGTACTTCATTATGAAAAAAAAAAAATTGACATCTGGACTTGTCTTCGTGGTGAAAATGGCTACCGAATGCTATCTTTGTGTGAAAATTCTCGATTTTATTTTTTACATTTTTAACTTTATAATACTATAACTTATTGAAAAGTGTATAGATCAACACAAATTTTTTATGAGAAATAATATTTTTTTATAATCCCTTTTTCATTCAGGATATTAATAAGAAAATAACAGATCATGTAGCTTTTGGAATAATCCACCAATTTTTTAAAATTATACACTATCTAAAGATTTGCATCGAAGCGTTTTATTTTGATAGTGATTTTAATCACTGTCAGATATCATTATACCTGATCCAACTATGCCACTTCACCACTGTACCGCGACCCCCCTGTGCTAGGTTTTTTACTTCAAATTTATGTTCAATCACTTGGTACATCTTCTGTTCGAAGATTTTCCACGGTGATTAACTTAGAAAATTAGAAAGTTTTAAATGTTATTGATAAGTTTCCATTTCTAATCTAGCTCTATTACGATTATGATTTATTGTTTATAATTTCAGAAACTTCTTTTTGATTTGAAAAAATTAATATTATTATTGAATAATTTAGATTTGTAATTTTTATTGTGAAATTATAAAAATTTATAAATTTGTTTTATTTAGTGTAGTTCTGTAGTCTAGTTGTATAATGACATATGTGATCCTTGTGACTCGCCGAGTTATTGATGGTCCTTTTTTGTGAATTTCGCATGCTTACCACTATTGCTAGCTCTTGCTACGTGGTTCTATGATGCACCTAGCTTATAGTCGTTTAATGGATCAAAACAATTTTTTTTATGAGAAATAATGTTTTTTAATAATCCGTTTTTCATTCGACGTACTTTATCTTAATGAGGATATTAATAAGGAACTAGCTGATCATGTAACTTTTGGAATAATACACCAATTTTTTAAAATTAAATACTATCTTAAGATTTGCATCAATGCGTTTTTTTTTATAGTGATTTTTTAATCACTGTCAGATATCATTATACTTGATCTATCTATGCTACGTCACCATTGTGCCGCGAACCCCCTGTGCTGGGTTATTTTGTTCATTGTTAGGTATATATCATAAAATTTACTTTGAGATATATATAAAAATGTCAGTATTTCCGGAATATTTTCAAAAGTTAATTTGTGTGAAAAAGTTGTCATTTTAAATCCTCCTCCTTGAGCAGGTCAATGATCAGATTAAAAAATATGTATACCAAATGATATTAATATCTAATATATCTATTAAAAAACAAACCAGCATAGTTGGATCCAGTATATCTGACAGTGACGAAATTCACTATCATAAAAAACGCTTCGACGCAAATCTGTAGATAATATTTAATTTTAATAAATTGGTGGATTATTCCAAAAGCAACATGATCTCCTATTTCCTTATTTATAACCTGATTACAAGTTTTATGATTTATAAGTGTAATATATAAATAAATATTTACTATAGCAATTAAATATAGTATGAAATTGATATTTAATAATTTAATATTGTAATTTCTTTCAAAAATTATTTTTTTTATTAACTTTGATGTCCGATTTTACCTTGAAATAAAATGAAGTTAGACATTTTTTTTTTATTTTAAAGTATATTATATAAGCTTTAATTTAAGATATATATATAAGTGTCATTATTTTCGGAACACTTTCAAAAATTAAGTTGAAAAAGTTATACTTTCTACATGAATTTTTAAGTTTTAAACCCCCTTGTATAAAGGGAAATGGTCCGAATTAAATTAATAAAGTATGTCGCTTAAAATAAGTATATAAATAGTATTTCTTATAAAAAAATTGTATTGGTCTATAATTTTTTAAAAAGTCTATAGAATTATAAAGTTAAAAATATAAAATATGAAAATGAGAATTTCAACACAAAATAACATAGTTTAGCTATTTTTGGTTCGGCGAGGTCTGAAAAAAAGTGGAAACAGACATAAAAAATTCATCATAGTAAAATTAAACCTTCCCAGTTTCGCATCGAAGCTAAAATTGAAAATTTTTTTTGAAAATTAGTGATCTTCTACTTTGTAATTATTTGGAGATTTCCCTCATTTACGAGGAATAAGGGAAATTTTTTCAATTTTTGAGAGTAATGTTTTCGACTAGATACAATAAGTGATCTTTTGACGTATCGTTGTAAGAAATAAGTTCGGTGAGAGCTGAGAAAAAGTGGTAACAGGCACAAAAATAAAATACACATCATAGTAAAATTAATACCTTCTCAGATTCGCATCGAAGCTAATAAACTATCTTAGTTGATTTTATGACTAAAAATATAATTTAAAAAAAAAATTGTAGTTGAATAATATTTATATATCAGAATTTTTAATTTTACATATCAGATATACGCAAAAAAATTTACTTGTTTCTATTTTTAAAAAAATTTTTTTTTATTTAAAAGACCTTTGCATCGCCTGTTGCTGTGTTAATATCCACTTGTCTACATCAGAATAGGTGTCACTGTGAACGATTGAAACACAATAGGACAATTGGTGTTCTTGTCTAGGCAGTGACGTCGTCCATAATCATTGCCGATTATTGAAATTCATTGCATCTATTATCATTGTTTCTTTTTTTTTGACGACGAGTGCACTGACACAGAATTAGTAAGTCACTTTGATTCATACACTTGTCTTAAGCTCCAGGACAACTAATGGATTTGCAGTTAAGTTGGGCCGCCGAATATGCGGCATTTGCGTGTATGCTTGGAATATCTATACTCATTGGTCTTTATTATGGATTTGTAGAGCGTAAACAAAGTACTGTCAATGATTACTTGCTAGGAGGCAAGCACATGTCTGTCTTTCCAATTACAATGTCTTTGATTGCCAGGTAAATAAAGTGCAAATATAATTCTTAATATTAAATATAATTCATTGGCTCTCAAGTCTTTCTAAAAGACTGCATAGAACCTAGTGAAAATAGAATTTAATTTTAAACGAGATAATAACTAAGAGTTAAGAGATTTTACACTTTTTAAAAATAACAGTAAATTTTTGAAAAATTAAACTAAAAATACCGGTATGAACATAAATATATCATTAATAAAAATTTCTACCATAGCCATTTATGCACAATTTTTTTTATTTTCGAAAAAAAATTACCTACACCAGAATATTAGCAAAAAGGACAAAAAAATTCAAACATCGCCCTATTTTTCTATTAATAACATTTTTTTATTTTTCTAACTTTAATTTTCTGTTTTTTAACAAACAAAAGTTTTGTTATTTTTACTTTTGGTTTTACAGTTATATTAGTCGATCATTTATTTGATTTCATTTTAAATTAGCTGTCAAATTAACTGTTTTATTAATTGTACATTGGAAAATATTTTTAAAGGAACTGTTAGCTAGTGTTTGAAGTATATTATTTATATAATTATCACAGTTATATATATCATACTCATTCATTATAATTACTTTAGCATGATTATTTCGTGCAAACTATTAGTATACTCAAACCTTCTATCTATCCATGTTTCTTTAAGTCATTAAGTACATAGGTTCAACATTTGATTCTTTAGAAACTTGTTCGTCATCAATGTTTCTCATATTACTTTCCTCGGCATCACAAAAAAAACTAACTTCAAAATCACTTAATATGATAAAAACTTATAAAAAATCTGTTTTTAATTTTGAGAGAATTCATTTTTCTTAATTTGAAAAGAAGTAATTTATTCTAAGTAATAAATAAAACTACAAAAAAAAAAAAAATTATTCAATACAACTTATTACCAATTAATTCATAACAAGTTGATAAAATGTTAAATTTGAGCATCTTCTTTGCACATATGTATCATTTTATACCTTGTATATTTCTTTATGCTGTAAAAAAGTAAAATTATTTAAGTGCCAAACTTTTGTATTAATGTATAACCTATACAGTTTAACAGTCATTATTTATATTTGTAAACGCACATATGTGAAAAACAATTAGATAACATTATCTATCTGGAAATTGTACATCTTATTATTTTCAGGGTTGTCCAAACTTGATAGTATTTTACCAAAAAGATATGAACATATAACCAAATTATGCGTTAGATATCTTATCAAATTTAATCTTGTAATAAAATTATTAATTAACAAAATGTTAAACAGTAACACTAGATTAATCAATAAGTACTTTATGTTGTGGTATCAGAGAGTCCTATATGTAATGATGCGATTTGCTTAAAAAAGAGTAATATTTTTCACTATTCTAAACTATCCCTTATAATTATAGTTTCTATAGATATAATTATAGTTGGTTTCATTAGTTAATTAAGTATAAACAAATGAAATTAATTAATAAAGATCGAATATGTAGACTGATCATAATTTTCGGGAGATGCCAGAACAGTTACTACATACATACATAAAAAAAATGTCAAAATTCACCGATTTATAAAAGTAATTTTTTGAGGTATTCTTCCTATTTACAGTGAATAGAGAAATTTATTTCAATTTTAAGGGTTTACTCGATGTGTATTTATTATTTATTTATTTATTAAAGGAATCATAGATAATAGGATAAATGACACGTTTTAATAAATAAATAAATATGTGTGAATGTATAATACATAACTTACAGATGTATGAAACACATTCTTTGAAAATAGTTGTCTGTGACCTTAGAGAAATTTATGTATGAAGTTGAAAATGTTTGTTTATTTATACAGGGGAACAGATATAACTGACAACTCGTATAACTTATGATCTATATAATTTTATCTATAAAATATTATACTTTTTTATTTTTTAATCAATTTTTACAATATATTGCAGCATTTTGAAGTTTATTAAGTTTTGATTTTTTTTTTACGATTTTCCTATGGTAACAAATGTTAGTCCATATTATGTAAAGGACGATAGTAAACATTGTATTTTTACTTTATTCACTTATTGACAAAACAAATTATTATTTAATGGTATATGGCTTAATTTTGTTATTTTTAATGATATTAGTTTTGTTTCTTTTATTTTGTCAAGAAAATAACAAATTTATAATATTTATTGTAAATACATTAAATATAATGGTTTTCGATAGAACTATTTTTTCATAAAATATTCACCGTAATTGCTTTTTCATTTTTTCTATAATAATTGTTTCTTATAAAATGAATTCATTTAATTTTATATTTTTTATAGCTATTAAATGTCAATCATAATAATTTACAGTTAGATTCCAAAATTTAATTAATTAGAAAATGTACCCTTACGTTGACAGTTGATATTATGTTAAATAAATGTTCATCTTTTTCAAGATTTGCAATAATATTTTAGCTATTTATTTACTAAATGTGTATTCTTTTTTTTGTTTTCAATAAAAAATTTGTGAGATTAATTTAAAACAAACGGTAGCATAGTAGAGTCGTGGCACAGTATGGACGTGGGATTGTTGGAACAAGTATAGATGATATCTGACAGTGATCTAAATCGCTATCATAAGAAACGCTTCGATACAAATCTGTAGATAGTGTTTATTTCTAAGAAATAGGTACATAATTACAAAAGCAATATCAACTTCTATTTCCTTAATTATATACTGATTAATATTATTATTAATAGTTCTTAGATTTAAAAGTATAATTTATGAATAAATATTAATTATAGCAATTAAATATTTTATGAAATTAATATTTAATAATTTAATATTGTAACTTTAACGGAGACATAATATAATGTGATAAAGTAGTATATTTCTTTACTTCTACAATCATCACGTATAAAAAATAAAATAAAATAAAATAAATAAAAATAAAATTCGAAGCAAATCTGTAGATAATATTTAATTTTTAGAAGGAATTATTGAATTATTCCAAAAGCAAAATGAACTACCATTTCGTCTGTAATCAAGTAGGTGGTTTCAAAAGACTAAATTAAGTAATAAAAGCGTTAAATGATATATACAATTGTCAATATATATTTAGTAAAATAACATCTGAAATTAAAATATATTTCCAATGCTTGATTAATAATGGTGATTCTATGTATACACTATTAACTACAATATTTCATATGGGCGAAGTCACCAAATTTGAACATAACACAATATATTTAAATTTAAGTCTATATTGGGATGTTGTGATAACAAAAATGTGACTGAAAAAAAAATGGGAATATAATTGAAAAGATGTGTATTTAATTATTTTAAATAGAATAGACTATCTATCAAAACATTAAACAGTTTATATAAACCATCAAAGGATAACAGATCTAATTTATTGTGGGATAATAAGGACAATAAAATGCAATCAGTTATACACAAAGAAGATGATGATGCACTATGGTGTCTGATGACGTAGAAATAATGAAAGATTTTTATTAATCAGTAATTGAGTATAATCAAATCCAAAAAAGTTTATTAACAAATTATTTGAAAATCAAGATCATAATTTTAGAAATTATCCATACTGCAATAAATTAGCAAAAAAATTAAAATACTAGACCAGTGGTTCTCAACCTTTCTGGATTCGTGACACCCTTATTCACAAGAACCCAATGCTACGTCTCCCTAACATCAAATTAATAATTATATAAAATACAAGTCCTATAAAAAATACACTACGCAGAAAGATAACAACACATATTACTTCAGCTTTAGTGTTATATAAACATTGACATTTTAAATTGAAAAAAAAAAATTATGATTATTGAACATTTTTATTGATTGTATAAAATCTAAAAATTAATGTGAAATTTGACCCTGGTGATCNTACACTACGCAGAAAGATAACAACACATATTACTTCAGCTTTAGTGTTATATAAACATTGACATTTTAAATTGAAAAAAAAAATTATGATTATTGAACATTTTTATTGATTGTATAAAATCTAAAAATTAATGTGAAATTTGACCCTGGTGATCTTTACATAGTTGTGGAATTGATACATAGACGAGGATTGATGGTTGAAAGAGAGAGTCTCATATTATCTTCTAGTGTTGTTTTTGTAAGTCTTTGGCGTTTTTTTGTTTTAATATTCGTGAGTGCACTAAATCCATGTTCACATAACCAGGACGTTGAAAATTGAAGTAGTACTACAACAGCTTTTGTTGATAGTCAAGGATATTCACTGTGGAGACTTACCCAAAAGCAGTTCAGCGAGACTTCTTTAAATTTTAGTTGGAGCGTACGGTCATTTTTTAGCTCCACAGCTTCCTGTTGTAATTCACAATCATCTGTTTGCACCATAGAACTAAATGGATTACGAACCCAGTCATACCGTTCCACGTTCAAGTCTGTAAAATAATATTTTAATGATATTTGCAAGACCTGCAAGTGATTTTTTATGATTTCCAGAACTTTAGGAATGGAGTTTTCTTGGTTTTTAAATAGTGGAAACATAGCTGTGTTCCCTAGATCTAAGTTTTTACACCGCACAGACATTATTTCCTGAAAACTTGAAAGTTTATCAGCGGAAGTTAATACATTTTTTAATGGTCCTTGCAAACCAGTATTAACCAAGTTGAGATGATGAAAATATCAATCAAAGACGCAAATTTTGATTTCCAATCCCAACCCAACCCAACCCAACCAATCCTCCATAAAACTTGTAAATTATTCGTTTTTCACTGCCATGAAAAACAGCCAAAGTTCCTTTTTAAGTTCGTAAAGACGTACTAAAACTTTTTCTCTAGATAACCACCTCACTTCGATATGGTATAACAAATATGTGAAATTAAGCATCCATCAAATTTCAAATTTCGGTGAAAATCCTACTTTTCAAGGGCTTTCCTTTAATGTAGTTGACAATACGGACAGCATTAATCAGAACAGAATTGAGTTCAGTACCCAACGTTTTTGTGGATGAAACAGTGAATCTTAACGATTAATGGGGTTTTCATTTT